ACCTTTCCAGGTCACTGACCTATGGCGGGCCAAAGTCAGGTCGTAACTATCAGCGAAAGCCATTTCCAGAACATCGCATAATGTGATGCGACAACGAAGTGTCAGACGAAGCCATGCAAGATAAGACAGAATAAAATATATTGTAAGAATAATAAAAAGTTGGTTAGGCAATAAACCGATTTAATTTAGAATGACAACCAATTCCATTGACCAAGGCCCGGCATGAAGGTCAGACCGAAGTCAAAACAAACCTGCTTTTTTACTCGAGAGCCTGCTTTAAGGGTTAGTTCCTAGTGCTCATTTTGAATTTATATATGACAGGAACCACGACAGTACAGAACAGGTTTCTGGCCAAAAATGACTGCATTGGATGACTAAAATTGGATCTCCATATTGACTGGGTCGGACTTGACGAGACTTTAAAAATTTAAGTTGCAAATAGCACTATTGTGCTGGTTAATTCGACGCAAGTCTCAATATTTGATCAGATGCAGTCTTGTTTTGGTAAGAGCTGTTGCGGCAACATAATTACAAAGTTCGTTCTACAGCATTTAAAACCGTCCGAATCAATAAGCAAACAGTAGGCCCACTTTGAGCGGACATTTATCGCATGGCTGATTGGAGCACTGGCATCTGTACCATGGTGACCTTTTTGACTGATGTTGCGTCGTATCAGATCGACTTAGTATGTAAACACGATGTAAACATGATGCTTACGCTACGCAAAATCACGCTAACCATTTGTTAAACGACCTTCATTACAATCCACTGTACAACTTTATCGATAATTTTCTTCATCGGATTCCCCGCCACCCGACGGTTGCGCTTAACCCGCTGTCTACCATTTTGTAATCAGTTTTACCCACCTGCTGTGCACGGGCTGCAATTTTCCAGCGCTTTAGCAATGAAGCATTGTAAATTTTCAGAAGAGAGAGAAAGAGCTTCAGAGGAGTTTTACCATCACCTGTACCTATCCCATCCCATTACCGATCTTATAATGGTAACTATGAGCTCACAAATGCTGTCACAAATTCATTCAAAGATGTATTTCGTGTGTATATGTCCATTCAGGCATATGCACACGCACACGCACACGCACACGCACGCACACACACACACACACACACACACACCCCTGTTTGTAAGCCCTCCCAAGTGGGGACCGCGCTAGACTACTACAGAGTGGGGACCACTTACACACCTCTTTAAACATGAGCTAGCGTTACGAAATTAACATCTTAGTGCTGCTGAAAACCAGAAGAGTGCGATGGTAAGCATTTCGTAGGTCTAGCGATAAGGGATCAATATCCGTAGGATGCTGCGAAGCGGGGACCAGCTAATATGACGTCAAAGGTGCGTCATACGCCTTACACTTATCAAGCTAGGGACCGGTCTCCGCATTGTAATGTGTATCTAAATTGCCCTCATTTATGGCATGGAAAGAAAGGGAATTTGGGTGATAACGTCGTTTCGGTCACGTTGGCGAACCAACTGACAGGGAAATGGAACTTGGTTGCTGATGCCCTGCCTGCACATCCTTTGTTTTGGAAGGAGCCGTGATATTTATGTTGATCTGTGCTATATCATGTCATATTTGTATTATATTGTATTATATTGTTATATCTGCATTATATTGCAGTATATACTGCTATATTTGTAGCTTATTGTAATGTTATGTGATGTTCCCATTATGTTGCATTATATTGTTATATTTGATTATATTGTATTATATTATGTTATATTTGACGCATGGCAAGAGCTACACGCAATTTTTCGGTTTGCAACAGATGATTTTCACTTCTTACGCCTACTTTTATGCTACATGCTACGCCTTGTTCATTACAGTCCAAAATTATGTCTCTTCGTCTGCGTTCCAAACTTTTTCCAACAAGTGGACGCCAAAACTTTGTCAAGACAGGACGCACAACATTGTGTGCGAATTAAAAGTTGCCAAACTATGTGGTATTACATCACATTAAGGCGGTTGATTTCAAAGCGTGAATAATGCGTAGAATGAGAACAGTACAAAAATCTGAACCTCCATGAATTTTTCAACATTCCGAGTTCTTCCGCTGTCTTTTCATTATCCCTGTCTTGGGTACCTGGCCGGTACCTGTCTGACCAGCCCACGGCATAGATGAAGAACAATCACAATAACAAATCACTGCCTTGGTTAGTCAGGCGACGCCATATGCCCTCAGCAGGCGAGTGCGTCGTAAAGCCCCAATGATGACGACGACAACCACGATCAATCGATAGTCCTGATCGACGATAATCGAGGGGTCCAGATCGACGACGATCTGGGGCAGGTCAGGTCAGTCAGCTATGCAGGTCACAAAATCGGTTTCAAACTTCTTGACATAGGTCACTACTGCAATCTGTGAGGCAATGTTGAGGTCTCCCGACGCGGGCTTTCTGCTATTCGCTTTAAGTTTTTGTGTTATTTCCATGTGGGGAGGGCAGCATGAGACAGCAAATCCATCAGTTCCGATCACAGTCCACCACAAACACACTCTTGTGCAAAAGGTTTCTTTTGTTTGCAAACGGGTCAAACAACCACACCGCAAAGCAGGGGTCGCAACATAACACAACAGAGGATCTAACGTCCGGAGCCTCTCGAGCTTGCAGGTAAAAGAACATTGCCACCGCAAGGCAGCGATTGCACACAACGCAGCAGGGGATCTAGATATGGAGCATTCCAAGCTTTCAGCTGAAACTACATTTCCATGGTACACTTGTGCTTCTGGATCACACTGTATGTACAGAACTTAACATCCTTCCAGGAACGCCGGCACAGTGCAGACTTCTCCTTCAGTGCCGCTAGGCAGTCTGCCATTCCTGGGCACTTCAGAGAACCGATAAATGGCTTCATGCGCCTCTGTATAGCCTCCTTTTCTCTTTCAGTCCACAGCACGCCCCTCCTTTTGGCTTTGGGCCTTCTTTCATTAATCCTTGGCCCCCTGGGTGGTCCGTTTTCTGCTTCAGCTTGGGGATCGGAAGCCATCCCTTTAGCGTTCTTCACCCCCATCTCCACTCCCATGTCGTCAGGGGCAATAATGCTAGCGCTGTCGTTTATGTCGACACTGGGAGCGGAACCACCTTCGACGACATCGTAACTGCTGGGTTCAGGTCATCCAGGGTCTTCCCCGCGAATCCGCCGATCCCTTTGGCCATCGCGAGTAGTATTTTACTCACTTTGGCAGCATGCACCGTCTTTTCGGGAAGTCTATAGAACTGCCTGTGGACCCGTATGTCATGGCCCATAAAGCGGGCCACGATATCCATTTCAATCTCGCTCAGTTGCAGCAGCTGCAGCATAGTAGCCACATGCTTTCTGTACTTCGTGACTGTGATGTTGTTGACACGTGCCCTCCGCGCGAATGTCCGCGCGCAGTCGCTGCCTCTGAGCATGCTCGCAACTGGGGCTGCGCTGTTGAAAAAAATGTGTGGACAGTCGAGAGGGATCCCAACGTCTTTCCTCGCTGCGATCAGCTGATCAAGCGCCCCTCGCATTGTGGCTGTCAGCATGATGGGCACATCGCCTCCTTTTTTGCTCCGAACCACTACATCTCCCAGCGAATGGCATAGCTCTCGCTCTAAGGGAGACAGGTGCTGCAGGACATCTTCATTGAGAGTTTGGTCCCTTCCAGTGTATGATCTGACCGTAGGCCTTGACGCTTCTCCCGGCCTTCGCCGGTTAAACAAAATGATGGATGCCAACGCAGTCTCCGACAATTTAACATAGTTCTTGATAGAGCGTTCCTCTTCCAATAGCCGCTGAGCCTGCACCAACTCATCCCGCACCTCCTTCGTTACACTCTGAACATCCGCATTGAGGGGAAGGCCGACGGGCTTATTCCACTTCCTTTCCTAGAGAGTGGTAAGCGCACGAGAAGACACGTGTAGCTTCCAATCTCGTTGGTAGAGCAGGAGGAAATCGTCCGCAGCCGTCCTCGGGGTGGCGTCTTCGTTGGTGATCCCGCGCGTTTTCAGTATGCGCGCGCATTCGCTGAGGCCATAACCAAGCTTGAGAGCAAGCGATAGGCTATGATATTTGCCCTCCTTCACACCGGCCATGTTCTTGACCGCGCCTACCACTTCCATGAACTTCGCGGGGTGAATAAACATATCTAGACCTGATCCTGGGCTTGATGCATTCAGCTCCAGCAGCAGTCGTCCTAGCTGCCGCATTTTTGCTCTGATGTGTGCATGTTAGTGGCGCTCGTGGCCCAATCTTGTGCATAGACGGGCCCCGAACTCCATGATAAAGGCATCATGCCTGCAAGTGGACGAAATACTATCGTCTCGCATCTTCGCCATCAGGTTTTCTAAACCATCCGCGGCATCTCTGTGGCACGACAGCAAGGATCTTCCCTGGGACTGGACTCGGCCCCCAGAGGCAGTTTTCCCATGGGTGTGGCACCGATGCCGAAAGAGGCCGCGTCTGGAAAAGACACCGTGAAATTTCCCACATGGCAGCATATCTTTCACGTTGACATTCATATCTTGGGGTGGACGCCTCCTGGGGACGATCGTTCCTCGCCCATCTCGGAAAACAGCAGTTATGTTTGAAGTTGCCTTTATGAATGATACCTTCCAGAGTGATTCTCCTCTCCCTTGATCCTTTTGGAAAGGCGAGCGCGTCAAGTACGTCGGGTTCTCGTTTATGCTTCCGGAAAAGATGGCGTGCAAATTTTGTGTGCAGGGTATCACAATAGGGGCAAACGTTCCGCTTTAGGGATGGCTTTCTTGCTTTAGGAGATTTTTCAACAGAGACACTGTGTTCGCCGGAAGCCCTACTGCTGTTCTTGGCCACTACCTGGGCCTCATGCTGGTCCTCGTCCTCGTTCTCGTCTTTGACTTCCTCCATATCCTGGTTCTCGTCCATATCCTTGGACTTGCCCTTGTCCTCGTCCTCGTCCATGTCCTCGTCCATGTCCTGGTCCTCGTCCTCGTCCGTGTCCGCTGCTGGCCGTGGGTCGGGGAGGTACGTACGATTTTCATCTTCATCGTCATCAGGAATGAGGCCAGAAGCATAATTATCATGATCTGCGGACAGACCGATCGCCATTGGTTACCTAATGACGAGTATTAAGCAAAAACGAAAACAAAAAACCAGAACGTCGGAAGCAGGATCGTTCGAGTTACTCAACGATGCGCTACAGTGCCAGACCTACCGGAGTTGCGATTCTTATGCCGAGGGGACCGAGACACAGTGCGCCGGTGGTCAGAGGCGAACCAGGGTACTTTGGGCTCCGAAGCCAACGCCTTAGCCAACTAAGCCACATGGCCAAGCGGCTGTTTAACCAAGGGGACATCGATTTATGGGGCGTCGGTCTACTGACCCCGCTCGGTGCTAGGGTACGGGCAAGTGCATGGTTGGCCACAGTTACTCTGTGATGCCTACTACATGGGATCACGTTGGTGCGTGTGTCCGTGCGTATGTTCAAATTCTATGAACAGTTTCCTTCATGGACGGAACAAAAATGTTCGTGATGACTGGTATCTTGGCAAGTACAAAAGGACCACTTTTTATCCAACTAAAAGCAAGCAAAAAACAATGAAGACACACAAGCTGCAAAACGTTACGAAACAAAGTAATGAGCAAATTTCCCGCGCAGAGCAGTTGGGATTTGCAGCAATGACAGACAGTCTACGCCAAGACACATTATTTTGTTAGGTGGTATCTACCACTGATCAGTTTTAAACCCAAAACAGAGCACAATCACCCTTGGTTGCTACACCTACTTTCAAAGGGCACTGTGCGATCTGATGCTCTCAGCTTATGCTGCTGCTCACGCTTCACTCAATGCTTTAAGAAACATTTTTTTAACCATGCACCAACCTTTCTCAAAATATGACCGGATTAGGCTCAGAGGCACTCTTTCTCTCGAAACCCATGTAGGAACTCTGAAATAAGTAGAAAAACGTGAGAATGCACGCCAATTAGGCAAGCAGAAGACAACTAGTGACCAGGAGTGGCACACGGAAAAACTTGAGGGGCCCTGGAGTAGCCAGAACGGGCCTTAAGAATGGTCAGATAATTCTGTATTTGTAAAATCAAGCAAAGAAACGTTGGCTGTTATTCTATACGACCATTTTCTTATGCGCGAGGAAAGAAAGCATTTAGGAGACCCTGGAGTCACCCTGGAGACCCGTTTCATTACATTTCATGACGCTGCTTTTATCGTACAATCATACCCTCGCCTAACGATCATAACACATCAGCATGGAAGACGTCAGGGCTGGTTGCTAGCATCGCCGAAAAGCCACGCTTTCCCAGGGCACGCTCATAGGTATAGACAGCTCACGTGTCTTTGGTTGCACCACTGCAAGACATGGGTAAGAGAACCGGGGATGAATAGGGGCAGGGGCTAAAACCTGCATGTTTCTGAAAATTTAGCATTGGTCCTTTGCGCGTTCACTGCAAAAATAGTCCATTGACTACCATCTTTTGCTTGGTTGGGTAATGGGCCGCTGGGCGCATGGGTCGTAGGGTTTTCCACGGCACGCACATTGGTCATGGGTTTTGTCGAGGTCTTTGGAGAAAAGGGGATCGGACAGCCCGTTTGCCTCCCATCTCGGCACCGCCCATGCTCATTTTCAGGTAAGTATAACAATGTATATATCGGTTTATTCATGCCCTGAACAGCTATGCCAAGAAACGCACAGACGAAGCCCTCAAGTCATTCAGTCTTTCATCGAATGTCTTGAAAATCGGCTCACGGCTGTTCAAACGAAACGCAATGCACGAGTGTCATTCACTGGGGTCCTACCAACAAGGATCACTTGTTAGCTCGATGAGATCGGGACACTGTATGCTCTTACCTGAAGCCACTAAACTTCACCAGTATAAACATGCCATCTTTGCTAGTGGCATGCTGAATAACTTCACACGGTGTGATTGGTGCCTGTAACAGTGAGCACGAGCATTTGTAAAACACAACACATGTTCGTTGCCTTTTGACTGTACCAAACAAGTAGAGAAACATACGTTAAGCCGCGCGTATAGGAAACCAGACGTACGGGGTTCGATTTGCTGCCTGGTCCAGCCTTCCTGCCAGGGCAGACGCCATAAACTGGGAAGAGAAGGCTGACCACTGAATTGGGATTGCCTGCATCACAAGTCGGTGGGGAGTTAAAGTCGTCCACCGGTAAAGGAAACCAACCCCCTGCAAAAACACGTAATCCAGACATATGCGAGACGCGCGACAAGATTACCAAAGATCAATCACGCAAAACCCGTCAAACCTGTTCACGTGTCTGTTCACACATAAAATGCATGAATACGATGTCACCAAGTCTATGTACCAAAAATCTATCAGTTCCTGGAGTGCCACCTTTTTGGCCGCCATGCTTTCTTCCTTGAAGTGAATGTCACTTTCCATCACAAGCCAGCATTACATCACTTGGTCAAGGGACGTTGTTAGTAGCGAACACTTTATTCATCGCAGGTCTCCAAATCGCAAGGGCAAATAATACAGATTTAAGAGGAATGGCAAATGAATGACTTTCTTAAAGATGGGTAGGAGACGGTAATAAAATGATGAGACGAATCCCACATTGCTTGTACTTGCTAAGTATTGTGTGTCGCGTATACCCTGAACCCACCACCAAAATAGCGTCATGTTTGTTTTCATGCCAATCAGACCCACTGACCCTAGTGTTTAGAGCCAGCACACCGGTTATGTCATATCGGCAACACCTGACCAGCCCGAACGAAAGCCAAAGGCTTACTAAGTATGAAACAGAAGGCGTTTTAAAATGTTTCACTCGATCAACCCGCGCGCTTGCGTATGAAACAGAAGGCGTTTTAAAACGTTTTACTCGTTCAGCCCGCGCGCTTGCTAAGCAGTCTAGGACGTTTATCTTACAATTTTGTAAATTGACATGCGGAAAGAATGACCATTCAAAGCATCAATAAATATTGGCAAGGTGGTGAAATACTTGCATCTGGCTGTCGACATTTCATAACTGCTAATGCGTGCTAAGGATGAACCAAAAACACCCAAGATTAAATGTACATCATTCTTCAACTTTTGAGCAGCACTTTTGAACAGCACACCGGAACCGACGATCAAAGGCCTGTTTGGGGGGGGGGGGTGTAAGGGTCTAAAGAACTGACTGTAGGTCACGTAAAGAATCGCGGCCCGGAGGGTCGTGACTTAAAATACTACTCAGAGGTCCCCTTGCATCGTTTTAGGATCACCCCCCCCCCCCCCCCCCCCTGAGACAATCGGTCCGAGACCACGAACACCGAACAGTCGGCTCCATGTCCGCCTGAGCCCTTGAGACCCATTTCCCAAGCAGAAACAAGGCCGGGGCTCGCGATTTGTAATGTTCGGGGTCCCTGGTACAATGAAGGGCTTCTGTGCCGGTTAGGGGCCACCGTCTCGAACTGTGGCGGCAAGTGGCCCCGAGTCAGAGCGATTTTGAGGGGGCCCAAAGAGGGGCCGAAGGGTCTCTCGACACCAAATATGGACCAAAGACTAATATAAGAGACCAAATACTAATATAAAATAATACTAATATTAGAAGAGTCCGAAGGGCTGGCTGTAGGTCACATTAAGGACCCCCGCTCGTAGGGCCGTGATCTCAAATGTCAGTAAAATGATCTTTGGCACCGATGGAGACCCCTGAGACAGAAAACTCCTCTATTTCGGTCAGAGATCGCAAACAACGAACTGTCAGTTCCGTGTTGGTCTGAGCTTAATAAGAAAAAACATGTCTTCGATAACAAATGGGTCATATGAGGTGATTTGGGGGGGGGGGATTTTACTATCAGGGTGTCCTCTGTCAATCCTGTGCCCCCCCCCCCCTTACGAAACCTCTGGCTGCGCCCCCTGCTGCTCTCTATTGGTCAAAAGGTACACGTTAAGCTTTTAGTTTGTGATTTATCTAACAGAGTGGACATATTTTCGTCTGATTTTGCTACTTCCTTTGCAGGCTACGCCCTTGATTTAGCTGCTTTCCAGCACTACCACAAATCACTACAGTCCACACATTATGGTAGGTTAAACTATGTTTTGCCTGAAATTGAGAACATAGAGGGTGGAAAGCATATGCAGTATGCACATTTTCAATAGATTAATGAGTTGGGCCAGGTACCTAGTGTATTCCGTGTTATCTCATGGAAACTGAAATAAAAACAAAAGAATTGCACCTCCAGGTTACAAAAGACTGCTACATCAAGCAGCTGTGGAAGGGTCCAAGGACTGCATTGGTCGAAAAGTGTGTGATGTGGTGGTGTGTGGTGTGGGCAGGCAGGAAAAGCTATTTGCTCTCCATGACGTGGAGGGCCACAAGCAGATTAGTCTGCAGATCACTATGCTTTTAGGGCCATGCTGGTCAAAGTTGCATTCATTCTGAAGTGATCAAGCACGCATTAATTGCAGTTTCCAAAAAGCATGGCTGTTCACATCTCGTGTGTTGATCTGCTGGTTGAAAGGCTTTAAGGTTTCCTGCCATCACTACTCGATATCAGGGTTCACGTTTCCTATTCCGTTAGGGAAGGGGGGGGGGGTTCTCGGCCCCCCCCCTCCGATATCAAGCTACAGCTGCCAACTAAGAAATGAAATGGCGCCAAATTCAGAGAGAAATTGGTTTGTTGATGATCTTTGGGTTAGGCTTCATCATTTCACAAGTTTTGGCAACCCCCACCCCCCCCCCCCCCCCAATGCCCCCCCCCCTACTCACTTTATGTACCTACGCCCCCACTCAGTGCATGCGGGTAAGGTGAGAATGGTGCACCCCATTGAGGGGTAAATGGGAACATGAGGTGAAAAGCACGCTGATGCCCCCCCCCCCCCCCCTCTTCCCGTCGACAATTACATGGGATGCAGCGCTGAGACGGCCACACAACCACCAAGTTGGAAGAATTTGCATTGCCCCACATAACGCTGCGCACCTAATGCTTGCCCCCTTCCTCCTTCATATCTACAGAGGTTTCAACAGAAAACTGCCGCACCGCCATCAAGTTGGAAGAATTTCCCTTGTCCCTGATACTGCGGTGCACCCGAGTACGAGAAACGCACTTCATGCACTTAAAAAACAGAGCTTCCAGTACAGAACATCATGCAGTTATCAGTACTTACCATATCCTGACAGCCCACAGGAACACCACTAAGTACCACGCAGTAATATCTCACGTCCCTTGATCGCGTGACAAGACGCCAACCGAGCGACGCGACACCTCCACGGCATTCCAACTCGCGGCCAAGGTCTGCCATAACAATCAGTAGTGATGGGTACTACGCATGTGCCCCGCCAAACTATATGATTGTTAATGTTTGGTCATTATTAAACGTCTTAAGGCATATAAAAATAACTATTGTTTATCATTTAGTTACTTCAGTCAATTCTGTCTTGTGAAATCAACACTACATGGTGCATTCAAGGTGACAACAAGATTAGCACATCTCTATTCAAAGACGACGTCACACATTTCAGTCGAAAGGCGAGAAACTTCTCCGGCGGATTTGTGTAAGTCAACCTAAGTCACGTGACTATGAAACATACACTTGGCGGACAAAACCTACCATGTCGGGACCTCTAAGGGATTGATACCAGACCAATATCTGGACGAAATTAGTGTTTTCCAATGGTTTGCAAAATGAGGACCGATTTTCGGCCCCCACCTTGAGAACCGTCCTCACCTTGCGTGAGTGTAGCGGACTTCGGTCCCCACTTAGGAGGGTTTACAAACACACACACACACACACACACACACACACACACACACACACACACACACACACACACACACACACACACACACACACACACACACACACACACACACACACACACACACACACACACACACACATACACACACACACACACACACACATACACACACACACACACACACACACACACACACACACACATATATATATATATATATATATATATATATATATATACACACACATATATACATACATACATGTATTTTTTTAAACCCATTAAAACCGATTTTCAAATCAGTCGCGGAATATATCCTGTCGTGGGTTGGGTTATGCAATATTTTTTCTCGACCGGATATATTCTACTTACAACGCGCACGGGTGACCGCTTGAATATCCTTCGATCGGGTGGGGTGGGGCGAGGGTTCAATTTGACCCCTTGAGATCTCGGAAACTAAGATATTTGGAGACACCAAGTTACACGGTGGGCTTACAGGCCCCCACGTTAACTCATTAATGTCAAAATTTGACGTTTCTGCATGACCTTGAGGTCAAATAAGATAAAATATGATCAAACTCCAGATTGGTGTCCGAAGGGCCCTCAGACCTCTCCACACGACCGCCACGAACCCTTAAACCTGTGAACCTGCAGACCTAGCTATCTGTTACAAGTAAAAGATCACTGGTGTTCATTCAAGGCCAGTGACCCTGTCTGGCCTTTAAAAGGTCAAGGCGACCAAAAAGGCTACGAAGTTGCCGCTATTTTTCCATTCAAAGAGGCGTCAGGGATCACGCCAGGCGGCATGTTCATAAAAAATGTTTGACCAAGGCCATCTTAGGTCAGTCGCCTAATCTAACCTTAAACAACTCATGGAATATATCTGTTGCGTGACATGTCAACGATGAATTATAAATGAGCATAAAAAACTACCGCATAAAGCAAGCTCTTGAACAACAAAAAGAGGTTAGTTTTGATCTCACTTTGACCTTCATATTTGAACCAAGGTCGATGTAATCTGTTGTAATTCTAAATTCATCCGGTGCATTACCTGAAAACAACATTTCAGAGAGGCATAGCCTCGTACAACACTCCGTCGTCGCATCAGATTGAACCATTCCCTAGAAATGGTCTTGGCTGACAGCCAAGGTCTGACTTTTATCTGCCTTACGTCGGAGACCGTACAAGGTACATCCGCTTTATTTCTATCAAAACATCCGCTAGTCAATTGTCTACAAGCATACAAAGTTTGGCGTGGCTACGTCGCGCAATTCGGAAGTCATTCTGGACAAATCTTCGGAGGAAGGGGGGTCAAACTGATTCCCACCCGAACGTGATGCTGAATGATACCGTGCAGGTTCTGAAGTGTCGAGCCTATGTAAGATGCCCACACAAGGCACAACACAACTTGTATGCAGCAGTCGATGGGAGCATTTGGGCTATCTATCCATATGTTTGGATACAAAATTTACTAAGAGGGAATGCACCAGAATAACCCAAGAATCTAAAAATGGATAGAATCCCGATAGCACACAGATCAACCTACGTTTGGGGCTCTCCGAGCCCGAGCAAAAATAAGGTAGAAAAAAATGTAATGAGTTCGGAACATCACTGGACCTGGACTTGGAACCGCGCCTAGAAGCGAGGAACCTCCGGATGAAAAAATGGATAATCCTCAAGGCGGAAACCATTGCTCCGGAAATGCTTCGTAGGACATTCGATTACAGTATGAAAGCAATGATCAGTGGAGCTGAGATGACATGCTCTAAAAATAGCCGCCCATATGGTACTAAAGCTTGAATGATTCTGGAATAAGGCCGGAAAATGTTGTGCCCAGCGCAGCAAAAAAAGACTTTTTGCACTCTTAAGTGCGCATACCTTGCTTGCAGACGAAGGCATCCAGAAAAATAACTTTGACATATGACTCCTCTTCCATCGTAAAGTTAATGATAAGACGCTTTTTGTTCAAGAAATTAGGGAATGGGACAGGGCGAGACCTGTCCTTGAAAGAGGAAAGCAATCGCGAATATACCTGCGAGAAATGAAAGGAGATAATTCGGCAGGACAGGAACTAGGCCAGAACTTTTCATCATGGCACATATAAATATTAGCAAACGCTGGGCTCAAGAACAGACCAATACCCTTTCCTTGTTTCTGTCTGTAAAATTTGATATTATCCTATATGAGATATATAATATCCTATCCTATATATACATATATACATGCATGCATATATATATATATATATATGTATGTATATATGCACTGGAATGTGTCGGTCCATTCAATGAGATAACACTTTAATTACTTTAGTCAATAAATAGTAATTCGCTGTTCAACTAACACCATTAGCTGCCGCCGTTCGCTCAGTCGTAACAATACCCGAAATCCAGGTCTGAGGTGATTAGCGTGCGGCTCTTCCCATTAGTGGCTTAACGACCTCTCCGGCCGGGCATCCGTGCCTGGGGGGATCAGCCAGAGATTGGCACGTGCTCAGGCGGCGTGACGTCACTGCCAGCGGACAGAGAGCGCCGCTACACTGGGGCCAACCGTGCGTGCCTTTATGCACCAATTGATTAAGGAAAGCATCCCATATTTTTTGTACTTTTCACATATGGTTACGTCAGACGCGAACGCTTTGATCAGTAGTATCAGTTTTTTCGAAATCATTTTCGATAGCTCAAATTTTCAATTTGAAGTGGCCGACCCTGTGGGAGAAATCCCATCTCACCCCACTATGAAAGTAGTACATTTTATTTATATTCCTTTTTAACGTGTGTGTTCTGTCATCTTTACAGCACACTAATAGTTCAGTGTTTGTGTGATTAATGCTACGTAGGCTTGAAACACATTGTCTAAAGAACAAAGTACGCGGCGTGAAGCTATTATCCCGTGAATTCAATAGCACGTTATAATATGGCTTTGATTTCCTACCACATGGCGTTTTTCACAGTTGCTCTATTCGGAAGAACTTTGGCTTTTGGAATGGGGATACCACATGATCCATACGAAGCACTGATTCAAACTTCAACCAACAAACTTCTCGGTAACAGGCCCTTGCCCGCTGAGCCAATCACAAACGTTCTTTTGTTGGCCCTAGTAGAGGTACGCACGGTCGTTGGCGTGACGCCGATGTTCGTGACTGCAGGGAATAACTGTAGTTCTGTTATATAGCGTTGACAGCATAATTTGGATCCAAAACTAATTCAAATTGATATTCTTCTTATGTCTTGACGGCGCTGCATTGACACTGCTCAGTGCTATTATTATGCGTAACTAGTCTCGAGGCCTCACAAGAGCATGTCTTTGAAATATGTCTCGAAAGTGAATCACTTCCTTTAACCCTGTTCCGGGCGTGCCTGCTATTAATTTTATTCCAGGAAGAGCAGAAATTACTCCCCTGAGATTTCAAGAGCTACTGTTAAGACCTGTTGATGAAACCACACAGCAAACTGCTACCCATTAGCAGAGTAATGCCATATAGCTGCCATTAAGCACTTGTTGAGAATTGCTGTCAACACCAAATATCTAGGCCGTACAGCCACTGCTGCCAGACATTTAGTGCTAACACTTAACTATAGTCCATTTCATTGGAGGAGTAACTACGGTTGACCAAGGTGTAGTTCACTGGCCCTTAGTTGTAAAGGAACGAACAAAACACAAAGGCAAAAAAACGTAGTTTCAGCACTTAATTCGATGTGCCTCGGCATACCGTACCATTGATATATCATGCCATCGAAAAAGTAAAAGGAAGATGTGTAAGATTGCACGGATAAGCACCTACAGTTGACACTATATCAGAAGCGTGTTCGATGACATCGACAAAGAAAAAGTGGCATAAGAGAAAACAAAATTGTTGGACTACACAATGTTTGTCACTTCTGCTTCAAGCACAGAAAATCCAATAGGTCATGTCAAGTCACAAAGCCCAAAAGTTACAACTCATCCCCGCAAATTATCCGATTCTGGAAACGCAACAAAATCAGTGATACAATAACCGTAATACATGGATTAAAGAAAATGCTTCGCATTTGAAGATATTAAAGCGAACGTCGGATGTGATGAAATAAGCCCACGTTTAACTATTTGTGTACTTTTAAGTGAAAAAGGCCACTCTAGATAACATAATTTCCCTGTTAATTGAATATGGCCCTTAGAACGCCATTGATTGATTGTCATCATACCTTGCACAATATTAATTGAGAGCCAATTAACGGCCGTTTTATTTGGAAATCGTGCTCAGAAATGCCTGATATGATCGACTCAGCAATTATTACTTTCTTGGCCTTGGTCACCGCATCTCCAACGGAGTGAAATAATTTGAAAGACATTATTATGTTGTCATGATTGCCCGGGTGATCTTGGATGCCGAATGGTAGATGCTTAGTCTCCCTGAAATAGTCTACACAACTTAACGGACGTATAGATCAGGAACTAGAAGGATTTAGGTTTTAAGAAGGGCAGCGCTGTGGAAGGGCTGTGAACTGCACTGAATGATCTTCAACCTGACTATTTCAGTTCAAGACCCGGTACGGATGCTAAACGCTCCCTTTAATGACAAATTCTCGTATAGTATATATTTACACGGACTAAACTTTTTTCTGATAGCTGGGTGTCTCGGTGACAGCGGCGGTCGCTGACTAACGCAAACTTATTGATGGCGAGGCTCATCATCAAAATCAACTACATGTGTCTGAGCATTACGTCATATGAGTTCACATGTTCGCAATCTAATCCTGGGTTACACACCTTTCCCCTTACATAACTTC